ATCGCGTAAAATGACCCGGCCAGGGTTTGGACCCAGACCTCTTAACACAAAATCCAACGCTATGCCAGTTACTTAAGAGGCTGCATCTCAAAAGAAAACATGAAATGCTTTAAGAGTGACCACCATCATTAGTGACTCACATTCCAAAAAGCCACGACAAAATATTTAAAATCGTCAAGTTAGATTCCAATTTTGTGAGTTGAAACTGCTCGTCAAAGAGATTCTCTTTTCAAGCTTAATAATGGATTTTTTTTTGGGCAGAAAATCATTGAAAAATCTGAGAAAATCTGAGAAATCTTCCTAACATAGTTTATTTCTCAAAATCCACAATGGCTACTCACCATGAATCCCTTGGTGATAGGAACACGAATGTTAAAAACTAAAATGCGAGCTTTCAATTTGGTGGTACATTTGATCGGCGAGCGGGGTGGACACAAAACAGTTCCCAATCTGAAGATAAAAAAAAAATAAACAAACGAGACTTAGGGCATCTTAGAAGTTCGATTTAACTTTAAGAGGCTCGCGATCGTTTATTCAACCGGCCATGTTTGTTTTGGACATAGAGGCGGCGGGCGGAGATGGGAGGAAGGGCGAAAAGACTACTATTCACTCCCCCACCCACCCCTCTCCTTATTCTTGACCGTCGCTCTACAAATTTCTTTCCCTTCCCAGCCTTTCGCTGCCATTAAAACAAAAGATGGCGGCCATAATTTTCGTTGAGAAAATACTGAGTACACACTCGCAAAAATTATGCCTGGTCTGCAGGCTAATCAAGACTTTGAATCCCGTATTAACAACCGTAGAACACTACCATCATGTGTGGTCAAAAATGATCGATGTACTAAGCTCTCTGAGAACGTTATCCACCCACGCAGTATAAATCGTGATATTTTGGGTCATTTTCTGCTACGTGCAAGATTACCTTCATCGTGAAGGACTACAGAGAGATACGTGGATAGATAGGGATGGGGAAAATTGTATAGGATTGAAAAAAGCCAAATAAAAAACTCAGCATACATTTTTCAAGATGTACAACCCATAACACAACTCGTTTAATGTAAAAAAAATGTAGGCGGGCATTTGTCTGCTACCGTTATCCAACCAGCAATGAAATCAGGTCCCTTTTGAACTGTTTGATTGATAGTCTTCTAGCTTCAACAGTACAACAGGTGTCTCTATGAATCAGGTGCCACAGTCATCCCATACTTACCCGACATGCATCATGTCCAAGCCCGATAGAACCAATGTGGAGTGATCCCCGGCGCACGCCAACTGCACAGGTTCGTCATGTATGCTTAGGCCTGAGTGAAAACAGTAAACAAACATATAGCCTTCCTTTGAAAAATGAACGAATAGTTAAGTAGAAGCTTTAGTTGCTGCTTGAGATGCTACAAGCGAGCGATATCTGGTAAAATTTAAGCGATCAAAGAGGTAATCGAGAGAAATTGTTCAGATTTAGCGACATTTCTTTTCTCGGAGAAGATCATGTAATGATATACCCCAGTCACACGAATTTCTGTATTTTTCATTCACATTAGATATCAATTATCCTAACCGTCAGTCGTAAATTTCTTAAAATCTGAGCCTTGAGTATTTGGGTTTAAAGTACACAATATACCCCTAGTGATATTTCTTTTCGCTTTCATCTGCTTTGAAAATGTAACGATATTGTCCGGAGAATGTTCTTGTTGGTTACTCTGGGGAGTGGAAGAGTTAATTAAATTTTCACTGATGAAACAACACCAAGCTACATAAAAAATAGATAAGATTCCCAAACGGTGAATATTTTGGAGTGGGCACAAATATCAGGGGTGCGCAATTTATTAATTACTGGTGTAAACTGCCAGCAGTAATTTCGGAGACGGTCTTTTACATTTACATCACTTACAAATTAACCTTATAGATCGTTTTGGTTTGTTTGTTTTTCTTTTAGATTTTGCGTTTTCCTTTACAAAATAGTTGTATATGATCTTCAAATAGATGATTCTAAAAACAAGAAAGTCCAACAACAACATACTTACATTAATAATTAACTATTCAGTAATTTGAAGGCATTGGTGTATTTTAGCGTGTTTACAAATATAATGCCTATTAACCTTGCCGCTACCTCATTAGTTGAACGTAATTATAAAATCAAAGAAACGAATTTCGGCTTTAATTGTTTCAAAAAGCCAACCACAGCATACATGGGCGATAGTTCTTAGTTAGTTCGTAACTTCTCACTTTCCCCAACTGATTTCACCATAACGACATCTTAGATCAAACCAACTCGATCTGAAGAACGCGAAGTTTGTTACTAGGCGTATGGCACACAAACTACAACAGGTTGGAAAATGTGAACTACACAAGGTATTAAAATGCAATTGGATTGCATGAGTCTAATGTAAGATTTTCCCGCTTCTACGATTTTAAACTGAAATAACGCCGGTTCTTTATGAGCATCTACGCAAAATTCTTGATAGCCGGTCCATTTTAAATTTCATGGCCAGATACATACGCAAGAGACGAGTGGAACGCTTAAAAAAAATAAGCAAAAAATCGCGAACTTGAAAATTACTTCAACTCGAACCCGTGAAACCACAATTTAAATGAGCTAGTTCATAATATTTGGGTATGCTTTAAACAATTGCTTTGTAATTATTGAAAATTTCCTCAAATAGGAAAAAGCCACAAGATATTCATGGCTTAAAACAAGAAAAAAAAATGATAACAATACAACAGAACTCTACTAGCTCGAACTCCCAAGGGAAACGAAACATCGTTCGAGATAGCGGGGGTTCAACTTATCGGGTTGGTATTGAATTTTAATTATCCTGTTATTAATTAACAAGGAATTATGCTCAATCGAAAGTAATTTTGGTTCAAATTAGTTAGAGTTAACTGATCAAAACGGATCAATACGAATTGAAAACGGAAAAATTGATTATACGAATCAAAGGTGAATTATGCATTGTTGCGGAGGAAAATAACAAAGAGAGTATGGGGGGCCGCAATTACTGTCGTTTTCCACAATAGAACACAGAGGTTAAGGAAAATGTTCTGTAATAATGTGAAATAAAATGTGAAGAAAAACGTAACAAAATGAGGCATTTTGGCCTCCAGATTTAGACATAAATTGTACCGAAAAGCACGCTCGGTTTAATGGTGAGGTGTTGAATTACGATTAACCCTTAGGCTAAGTTCTTTTGTTTGCAAGGTTGCATTGTCACAGCAATTAACGACAATTGTGTATTTTCAGTTCAGGCAGCAAGTAACTCTCGTGATCCCGATAACAGTCATTAGGTCTCTAAATTACAGCCATGCCAACACTTCATCAGGCAATAATTCGTCGTAATCAACAACAAGTACGTCTCCTAACAAATGTGGGATGCAACGTCAATAAACTCGATTCGCGCATGTGCACGCCGCTACGCCTTGTCTGCGATCTTGACAAGGAATTCTTAAGGGTGTCTTTGGGGCGTATTTTGCTACGACATGGGGCCGGAGTGGAGCATAAAGACGAATTCGGTATCTCAGTTTTTAGTTACTGTTGTATGAAGCAGTGTTTTAAGTTAGTTTCAGTCATGATAGAGGAGAGAGAGATTCCGTGGCTTGATAAAGACTACAACGGAAACACAGCTTTGCATCATGCGTCTGCTTCAGGAAATCTTGGGATAACACGAATGATTCTTGAACAGATGAGGAAATACGGCTTGGATATTGATCAGAGAAACGACTTGGGTGAAACTCCACTGATATCAGCAGAAAGAATGGGGCATATCCGATGTGCACAGTTGCTCCGAGAATGTGGTAAAGCGAGCACTGCTGCACGTGATAATCACGTTTTAAAAAATGCTGACGAATGGAGAAGAACGAGGACAACACGTGCATCTCAGAAGCTATCACCTTACTTTAGGTACTCCAGTCCATCTTCATCAATAAAGCCCATTTTTGATATTATAAAACCAAAACTAAATTAAAAAGGAAAAAAATTAACACAAAAAGCCAATGAGAACTCGATGAAGAAACAAGCGAACTGCTTTGAAACGCAGGAAAACGCAAGTGACCGGGAGATTTAAGATTTAAGTGGTACCTAGCCTCACCCTGTGATAGTATAATGCTATCAACAGTTGTGATTACGGGCAGAAAACGGCTTAGTTCCTGGTTCATGGAAGATCATAGTAATTCTGCTGTGTTTTCTCTTTGTTTAGCGCAAAGTTCCCAGAAGTGGCAAAACAGCTCACGATTACTGTTCACATTAAAAGATCAGCAGCATTTCAGGCGAGAACGTCGGCACAAGACAAGCTTGACAAACCCCATAAGCTTCTTGATCGTACTGGTAAGTTACACCAAGTTAAAGTTTTGTTCAGATTGAAACACAGAATAAACCTGGTAATATCACCTGAGGACGCTAACAGTGTGAGTTGAGTTTGTCAAGAAAGCTAGACACCATGGAATTGCGAAGTTTAAGTGTTATTAACATCTATGTTAACGGTGGCAACTTTAGTTCGTTCATAATACATCGGTAGAATATTATAAAGCGCTTTTGACTCGGTGTCATGAAGCCCAAAACCAAAGTAATCCCCGTGGCCAACCACAACAACAGTTAAGTTACACAAGGAGCCAATCAGACTCGACCTGTAGCGCGGGAAAACGCGGGTGACAAGTTAACGATCGGACTTTCGCCTGATTGGACAAGAGAATAGAGCAGGTTTCCTGAACCACTCAGAGGGCAAACAAAACAAAACTTTGAAACTTTCCGCATTATTTTTCAAACTCAATTCAAAAGTATAACTATAGTTGATTTGTTCACAGGAACACTAGCGACAAAAGATGCTTTGCCGACTCTGTTAAAATTACAAAAAGAACAACAGATGGACACTTTCCGCCCTTCTGCCAAGCCTCCGCCCTGTAAAGTCCAAAACACAAAAGAGTTCAGGGACTCCTCTGGAGATGACCATAGTCAGTCGAGAGCTGATCAAATTGCTCCAAGACTGAAGAGAAAGGCTTTCTCATATGCTGGGCTGCCTGTGCTAGCCCAACAACGGTTTGCAGCAAGGATTAAAAAACATTCTGCTCAGCGCATAACCGTTTCTAAAACTGTTAACGAGGAACAACATGCTCCGAAATGATAAAAACGTTGGCTAAATTATTACTATCCTTTATGATAGAATTGACTCAAACATACTCTGATGAATATTCACTCAACTTGTCCAAGAAGTTAGAATCGGCAACACAAATGTTGAAACCAAACGACTTACTGCTTCTCATTGAAGCCAGGATTTTACATACACTACTGGCTTCTAATGAGGCCCAAAGTTAGTCTGGGAAATTTAAAATTGCGCCTCAAAAGCAATACTGAATTGCGTAGGTTTTTTCTTCATCACACTTTGTGATTAGTCCAGAAAACTCGCGCCGAATTCTCGACCAATCAACTTGTGTTCCATTGGCTGCTTGCAATGTTTTCCTTTTCTGATTGGCAATTGCGACTTTCTATCAATCACTTAACCAGTCAATCAAAGTGCGCTCTTCCTTAATTTTGCCACGCAACCATCATTTGTAAACTAAGTTTTGCTCACCTTTCACCTGTCCTTGCTCTCCCGCTGGCATAACAACAATCTTGTCACCGACATGAAGTCTACCAGCTTCCAGTTTACCAGTTACGTTTATTCCTGCTCCCATTCCTGGAGTACATGAAAAAGTGTTGTTAGTGTTCTAACATTGTAATGATAAAAGTCTCGTGCTGAATGGGTTTAGGGTTTTAATGAAACTGGACCTCATATTGGAGAACATGCATACTGATGTTAGAATGTAAAGGTTAAGTAATTAGACTTTTACCTCTGCTTTAAAAACAAGGATAAGATCAAGCAATAATGGCGATTTAATCATCTTAAAAAAAAAAAACTGGCCCAAACCAGCTTCTATTTCCAAAGAAATAGTTAAATATCAAGTTTACTCCAGATCCACACAAAGTAAAACTTACCTTTATAAATATCTGACACACAAAACCGAAATGGCTTGTCCAAGTCCCTCTTCGGAGGCTTAAAATTGTCTATTGGAAAAAAAAAATTAAAATTTCCAGAACTGGAAATATTTGACCCTTTGTTACAGGTGACATCAATGCTTCAACATAACAAATAATAATTTCTCCCGTGTGTCTGTTTATGTGCAGAACATGGCTCCATTTTCTGCATATAAACCCACACAACCAACAATTCCTCTGGCGAAGTGCTAACGCTCGAAACGTCGGGTTTGAAACTCTTCACGGTGGCCAGTTTACGTTATCAACTCCGTTGACAAAAGTAAATTACCACGTTATATTCTCCCACCGACGCAGTACCACAGTTTCTTTAGAAATTTACCCCCTTTATTCATTCAACTTACATGTTGAACGAACAAGCTCGCTATTCTATCTTTCGCATCCTTTCCTCTTACTAATCACGCACGATGCTTTTGACACTGACTACTGGACTTAGCAATAGCAGTGTGCTCGACACATAAAATCAATTTCCAATTGAAAGTAGTCCGGGATGGCTTTTTGTCTCTCTTCAGCACGCTTTCAAGCTGGTCAAGAAAACTCGCGCCATTCGTGAAATCAACCAATTCAAAACTTAAGCCAATCGCGAATTTGCAAGTCACGTTTCCCCCGCTTAAAAGACTTTACCGTGTTTTTACCTTAGGTTCTCATTGGTTCTTTGTGATATTTCCTTTCTTACGATTGGCCAATGGGGAAAATCTTGTTTAGGCTTAACAACAATCAACCGAACTGCACTCTAGTATAAGGCCAAACTTGCCAAAGAGTTCCCTTAGGTTGGCAAAGCGTCTGACAACCAAATCAGAACTGGCAGTGTTTTACACATCACGGAGAATATACTCATTCCTATGTTCATTATTCGTTACAAATATTTAACATCTTTCTTTAAGGACTGATTTTGTACCTATCCTGTCCAGTAAGGAGGGTCCGTTATACCACGCGCGCAGCAGAGGCTCTTTGGAAGACCCTGTTAGATTCTCACCAGTGAGACCGCTACAAGGAACGTATACCACATCAGACTCCTATCAAGGACAGAAAATTGTTATGAGACCTATTTCTCTACGGTTACCTTCCAAAGTGAGAGAGCGAAATCAAACCCGGGGTAAGAGGGGAGGGGAGAGGAGGGAGGTATTACACATTTTACGTAACTTGTACAAAGATGAACATACCTTAAACCCAGCCTGTTTTAGGAAGTGCTTGAGTTTTCCTGTAATATGATTGTACCTGGCTTCTGACCAGTCAACCTGAAAACAAAACATTTGTACAGGATGTTACTGTGCCTTCACCTAAATATGAACAACTTGGATAGTTTGGACATCACTCAAGAAGCAAGTTCCATAAAAAATTGTTTATGGAATCTTGCGTGCTCATACAAAACTTCTACTTTTATATATAAGAACTACTTACGTTGTCAAGCTTGTTGACAGCCACTATGACCTGCGTTACACCCAGTGATCTGACAAGCAGCGCATGCTCCCTCGTTTGTCCTCCAGCTTCAAATCCTGCTTCAAATTCACCAGTGCTGGAGCCAACCACTAACACAGCGACGTCAGCCTGAGATTAAACCTCAGAATATCATTTTGACAGATAATTACACAGACAGCAATTTCTTCTAAGCTCCTGACACCCTAACATCAGTATAAATATTCTCCATACTGTTCACCACACATTTCCTTAGGTGCAGACAGGGAGAATTCGTTTAACAATCAAGAGCTTCTTAAGTTAGTGATCATTTCCTCTATTCTCGTGACCTTTATGTCTGATTCAAGGGTGATATTGTAAGGAGAAATTAGACGCTACTCACTCTTTGGGATCACCAAAGATACCAGTCAATGCAGCCCAAAGAAAAACAACAACAACAACAGAGCCAAAAATAACACAGCAACAACAGAGCTGGGAAAACATAAGCTACAAGATAAAACTGTCTGCAAAAAAGTGCTCATGCTAGTTTAGATGGCAAACATATGAGATAGTGATGTTACAGCAGCTAACACACAGTTTGAAAGTCTTTCAAAATTTTACCTTCAATTTACAATTTGTTATTTAAATCTCAGATCTGCTTTATCTTCTCCATTCTTCACAGTTCTCATTCTCGTTTAGTTTACTATTTCTTCTTTGGGGTTTATCTACCCTTGCAAACTATCATTAAAAGCTTTCATCCAGCTAACCACAATTTTCGAAAAACCAAAAAGTTACTTTCAGCTATTGCCTTATCTCCTACATTCTTTCAATCCATTCAGAAGGTGCAGATGAAAACTTACACCACTTTCTAAAAGATCACGGTACATAGACTCCGTACATGTGGTCTTACCATCACGGGGTGGGTGGGGACATTGAACACCCCTGATTCTCTAGCTTGTGTGCAAAGTCTACTTAGCATTGAGTCATGTGTGACGAAGCAGCGAGACGAAGCAGCACAACAAGCTGCAGAGGCCTGGTCTATGTTGCAATGTGGCAGCATCTATGATAGACTGATCATAGACATGGCTGTCTGCTATGGTAATTACTCATTACTTCTTTAGTATTACAACACTACCCTGTCAATTAACAACTATTTATGTCACTAAATGCAGCTGAGGAATCAAAAAGTCAACAAACCTGAGCTGCTCCAGTGATCATGTTTGGAATGAAGTCTTTGTGTCCTGGGGCATCCATGAGTGTTATCAATTTGGTTTCTGTCTCAAACCTTGTTAAACCAACATCCATTGTTATTCCCCTGTCAAAAAATCAACATATCACTCAGATTGGTTAACAAAGGATTCATCAAAACAGAGGCTGGTCTTTGATCTCACATATCCCCTTCCTTGCCACAGTACATAATAAGCTGAATTATGCTTGCATTTTGATTGGTCCTTACCTATGATCTATTATAGGACAAGACCCATAGATGACCTCACCATTAACAACATTTTGCCTTTTATCAAAGGAAACAAATAGTTTCCATGTGGCCATGGGTCTGTTCAGTAAAAGATAACAGGACAAGTCAAAATATGGCCAGGACATCAGAGACCAGCCACGTTTTGTTCTTGCCACATTTTGACTTTATCTGTGATTTGTTACAGAACAGATGCATGGCAACAGGGAATCTATTTGTTAAATAGGTAATTTACCTTTCTCTTTCCTCACCAGTCTCATCCAGAACCCAGGCATATGCAAAAGAAGCTTTTCCTGCTTTTTTACTCTCCATTTCATATGTATTCCAGTTAAGAAAAGGTTACTTATGTGAGATCTACATTGTTAGTACAAGCCAGCCAAAGATCTGCAATGGGTATAGCACATGGTTAAAGCCTGATACCCAGTAAACCTCCCAACAACTCATTTCAAATCTGCCCACACATGGAGAAACGTGGGTCCTGCTAGGCTAAAAATGAGCTCCTGCTCACAGGCTACTGACACATTGCCAAGGATAACTAACAGAATGCCAACTTTCCTGGAAGCTTTATAGTGCAGTTAATGGGATGGGGTGCCAAGCTTCCAGGTAAGTTCATGAATCTTAACCCTTTAAACCCTAAGAGTGACCAGTATCTAATTCCTCCTTACAGTAATACTGCTGATCCATTCATTAAAAATATGAGAATGAAGGAAATGGTTGCCAAGCTAAAAAGCTTGCATTGTTAAACAAATTCCCCTTTTTTAGTACCAAAGGAAATATTTTGAGAAGAGTAAGGAGAAAATGGATCCTGATCATAGGGTGTAAAGGGTTTATAGACTTTGTCTCAAAGGGAAACATTTTAACTTGAACAGTTTTTCAAAAACGTGGTAAGAGGAGACAAGCATTACATAGAAAGTGCCATCAAAATTCAGTTTTAGTTGCAACCGGTTTTGCAAAATATTCTTCAAATCACTATTTAGTAATCCCATTGTTACTTTATCACTAAAAAAACTTTTTAGGAAGGCAAGATTTACATGTATTAATTCATAATATATAAATGGAAGTACTTAAAATTCAGAATCCTAAATGAGCAATAATCCTCTTGTCCTTACTCTGATGATTTGAATAAACAATGTCAAATCATTCTTACAAATTGTAAAAATTATAAAAATCCTCTACAATGTATAAACTATAATAAACTATTTGACAAATAATTTATAGAATAAATTTTTTAAATGAAAAGGATATTTATGCATTGACTTTTTAGAAACATCTCCAAGACGATAAAGAAGATGACCCATGAGTGTGCTTTTCCCAGCATCAACATGACCTGACAAAAAAATTAAAGTAATTTTAATTGCAATTCAGTCATTTGTCATTACTTGACACAATACTGTGATTTTCAGTTGAGTAGGGCAGGAGGGAAGTTTGAAGACCACATTTTCAAGTGGCAAATTATTGTTTGACTTCCTTTGATGGCTTTTATGTTTGATGGTTGGTGACACACAGCCCTTGAGATTTGGTTACCATTGGAACCAAGGAAGGTTGCCTGTGACAACACTGTTACTTCACCATAAAAGCCCACTTGCTAGACTTTTTCCATGCCTCAATCAACTGAAAATTGATGCAGGAATAATCTGTTCTATTAGCTAACAGTGATTTTAAAAGAACTAACCAACAGCCCATGATCTTATCATCTTCTTGTCAATAAATTTTAGACATAGATGGTGATCATTTAAAGTTCAACCACATTTACACATTTTTAAGGGTGATTTTTTTCTTCTTTTTTTTGTTCCAAGATTATAGTCTTAATTCAGGAAAATTTAATTGTGGAATTACCTACCAATCACCACCAAATTAAGAAGAATTTTTCCTCTCTGACGCCTGTCATACTCTTCTTGCACCTGCGGTCAAAAATTGAAGTGAATGCAATTTATGAGGCATTTGATAATAATAATGACCTACCAAATAAAGCAAAAGTTGCTAGCAAGGCTTCTTTCCCATGGAAGAATTTGATACAATTTGTGATGAAAAAGTTTCATTAGACCTACAGGTTGATTATCAAATAGTGCAATGATCTTGTTAGACCTAACAATTGAAAATCAAATAAGGCAATGATCCTCGCTGATGAGCTATACAGGAAAGAAGAACTCCCTAAAAAATTTGCCCTGCTTCCAACTTGTCGCTTTGTAGGTCAGTTGGTAGTTGCACCTAACAAGTATCTAGGAAGCCTAGGTTTGAATCCTGTAGAAGCCTGAATTTTTTCAGGATTCTTTTCAAGTGCTTAAATGTTAAATGTCTTTATTCAAACCTGTATTCAAAATATCTTTATTTACCTTAAGGGTAAAAAGTTAAGTCTAGCCAAACAAGTAACTGTAGATTAATGACTATGATAAAGGAATGAACTGCATATCATAAGAATATCAAAAAATATATAAAATGATGACTTCAACCTCCTTCTCTCTGTTCTTGGCAGCTATTCTTTGTTTGCTAGTGTCTGCTGATTTAGCTTGGTCTGTGTCTTCTTCAAGTGGTACTTCAGGAGAGCTACAGAATAGAAACTTAAAACTTAACACATCCTCTGAATTAGAATTTGAGAAGTTTGATGACTGAAAAAGAGCATAGCTGGCAGTCGGGGAAAAGAGCAAGGAAAGTGCAGCTCTTGTTTATTACTAAGGTAAGATGAGAAAGGCATAAACTAGAATGTATCAACACGAGAAAAATATTTTAATCAAGCAGTGCGCTATTTTTGTTGCTGGTCCACAGACACTTATTTTTCGACAGTTATGCAGGAAAGTGCAAAGCTAGTTGTGACTTTGAAAGAAATTTGAATAAATTAACAGTTTGACCCCAGTGACTTGCACCTAATTTCTCCTCACAATATCACCCATGAATCCAACATTACAGTCATGTGAATATAGAATATTATTGATCACCATCTTAAGAAGTTCGTGATTGTTAAACAAATTCTTCTTCTTAGCACTTTGAGAAATGTGTAGAAAACAGTATGGCGAATATGCATACTGATATAAGGGTGCGAAGGAGTAATGTCGAAAAGTGGTTTCACTCTTACCTTTCCATTGATTTCTTTTTTTCAGTTGAAGGAGTTGAAAAGCCCAATGATGCCTTTTCTGACAGAGCTGTAACCAGAGGAGTGACTGGGTCCAACACACCTTCCTTCTTGTTGTTGCTTGCTGCATTATTCAGGAGAGGATGATGAAGCTTGATCTGTGGTTCAGGATCTTTTTGTACACTGCT